TTTCCGACGCAGACGATCTTGTCTCACCAATATGCTGATTACTCGGGACTTATGGACCAGGGCGGCTGATGAATGAGTGCCCATAGATGTGATTTACCTGGATTTTTCTAAGGCATTCGACAGGGTCAATCACATCTTTCTCCTCCAAAAGCTTGCTGCCTACGGTATCAACGGTTCCCTGCTCACCTGGTTGGAAGACTACTTATATGACAGAGCAATCATGGTAAGAGTAGCTGACACCTATTCTGAAAGCCTTTACGTCTCCAGTGGTGTACCACAAGGATCCGTCCTCAGCCCGCTACTATTCTTAGTCTACATTAATGATCTTCCAGCAGACATTCTATCTCCAATGCAAATATTTGCAGATAATGCTAAAATATGGAGAGCAATTCGCTCAGCATCCGACCGTGTCTACCTCCAGAAAGATCTGACCCGGATTAACGAATGGGCAGAAAAGAACCAGCTCCTACTGAACGCTGCAAAGTGCCACCTGCTGACGGTGCACAACAGCTTCGTCAACACATACCTTTTGGGGCAACATGTCATGCAACACGTGACTGGTGAACGCGACCTAGGCATAATCGTGCAAGAGAGTCTTGGAAATTCGCTCCAATGTTCGAAAGCAGCAAGTGTGGCGAACTTGAACTTGAGACTTTTGAGGCGAGCTCTCGGCACTTTTGAGCGACAGCTAGTACCATTGTTGATTAACTCCTACATTCGTCCTCATGTTGAATATGCAATTCAGGCCTGGTGTCAATGGTTAAAACGAGACATTCGTCTATTGGAACAGCCCCAAAGAAGAGCCACAAAGGCAACGCGTGGACTATCCGGTATAAATTACGAAATGCGTCTTCGTGTACTCGGTGTGTTCTCGTTAGAATACCGACGGCTTCGCGGAGATCTTACTCACACATACCGGATACTAACCGAAAGCGAGCATCCATGTACATCACTGTTGACTCTAGCCCCATACAAACAAAACCGAGGCAACCACCTGAAACTAATGACGCAACACTCTCGTCTGAATTGTAGAAAGTATTTTTTCTCACTTAGAATCTGTTCGCACTGGAATGCATTACCAACCTATGTGGTGAACGCACCAGACATGACGACATTCGAAAGACTCTTAGATTTTCATCTAAGTGATAAACGATACACAACACTTTGTTATAGTGCAATGATTTAACCACTGATACTTTACGTTCCACGTTGGAACATTTTGCTTTTAATTTTCTATTGCATATATATCCTGTGGGTCTTGTAAAGTTATGCTTTTTATCCCATCATACACCATTGAACCATTGAACCTGGAGTACGATTATGTACGCAGGCAAGAAAGAAATGCCCAATGATCACATACACTATGAATATTTCGTCAGTTTCCTGATGCTCTGGCCACCGCAGAGGATAATCAACGGTGCCCTATACGCTGCATCGAGTAGGGTGGATAGGGGTTTAGATGCTACTACTCAAGCCTTCCCGTCTTCTTATTCCCCCTCTTACGCTTTTTCACTCTTACCGTCCCGTTCCAGCTTCACGTTTATCCCCCTGTTTTCAACCCCCAATTCTTGGCCACCCCCTTGCTTTGATAGGCTTTTACCTTTTAGTTTCAACTCACATGTGAACGCGGAGCGTCATTCATGTCCTGTCGACAAGCCCATGTCCAACCAAGCGGTCCGTTCCAGTTCATCGGCTTCCATTTGAAGCCCTCGGTCCTCCATCAGATTGGCACTCCTCAATGTACGCACATTGCTACAGATCGGTCAGCAGGCAGCACTTGCCCGAACATTAGAGACCCTCTCGATCGATATCTGCTGCTCATCGGAGACTCGTCTGCACGACTCGAGCTCAGTGCACAACTTGCAATCCTCTTCAGGTGACGCAAGCAGTATTTTCTTACTGCGCCTATCCGGTGGCGATGCAGCTTCGAGCACCGGCCAAGCTGGTGTTGGCATTGCCCTGAGTCCCCGGGCTGAAGCTGCTCTGGTTGATTGAATCCAAACAGTAGCTGATGTGTGCGGTCCGATTGGCTGGCTCATTCAAAGCTTCTAAGTCGCGCTGGACTAGCAGTTGTCCATTCGTCATCGCTTCCTATTCACCCACAAACGCTAGGGATGATTCGGTAAAATACGACTTCTATCGCCAACTTACCCAGCTCCTTCGTCACAGAAGAAGCTCGGACACTGTGGTGCTGGCGAGTGATCTGAACGCTCAAGTTGGAAACTTAGCCAATGTGGAACTGCATCTGGGCGCCCAAGATGGTGTAGGCTCCCGTAATGATAACGGTGAGCAATTACTTCATTTGTATGGAGATGTTCGCCTATTTCTTGTGAGCACTAATTTCCGTCACAGCACCCGCCGGAGGGTGACTTGGCGCCCACCGGCCTCGAATCAGCTATGGACGCAAATCGATCACATTGCGATAAGTTACCGATGAAGAGACTGCGTCCAGAACTGTCGCTCCATTTGGAGCACAGGTGTGAACACCGACCGTACACTTGTATGTGCTGACATGCGGATGCGTTTTGGCGGACGTCCAAGAAGACGTTGTGAGCGCATTGACACCGGCAGACTGGTGAAGCCAGCTGTTCTGAACGCCTATCAAATTACGCTGTCATCCGAGTTGGATAAACGCTCACTGGACGCAATTGTAGCTCACTGGTCTCATATTCATCAGACCTTACCAGCAGCAGGAAAATCCTCATGTGGTATGTCTGATCACCATCATGGACATTGGGTCTCTTTGCGGTCTCTGGAACTTATCGACGCTCACCGGCATATCCCAGCTGGAAGCAAACACAATGAAACTCACAAAGAGCTCCGGGCAAAATGCCGTGCTAGCCTGAAGAGAGACCGCGAATCCTGGTGGTCTCATCGTGCATCAGAAATGGAAATCGCTGCTACCCTTAGTTACCATCGTAAGTTATTCCAGCTAATACGAGAAACGGGCAGCAAGAGACCTGGTGTTGGTGAAACTATACATGACGAGAGTGGACAGCCTATCTACAACTTGTCAAAACGCTTGGAGCGTTGGGCTGAGCATTTAGAAAAGTAATTTAATCGGTTAGAATTGTTCGATTATTCGCCGGCCACTGATCGCTCCGCTCCGTTGGTTCTCCCTTTGAATTCACCCTCTCGCTCAGAAGTCGAAGGTCAGATCGCACTGTTGAAATTAAATAAAGCTGCGGGACCAAATGATCTTCTTCCATCCCCCTTCAAATTCGTGGGACCTGCTCCTGTGGACGATTTACACGAGTTACTAGTGAAACTATGGGAGAAGGAAATTGTCCCAACTGACTGGAGCCGCTCCGTCGTAGTCCCAATTTTCAAGGGAGGCTCACGATCGGAATGCGGCAACCATAGATGAATCAGTCTGATCTCCATCGCCTATAAATTTCTTGCCTCTGTCATCCATCACAGACTGGCTAGCACTCGTGAAAGCCATATTCATGGAGAGCAAACAGGGTTTCGTCGAGGTTGTGAATGCATTGACTACATCTTAACTTTGCATCAGTTGTTGGAGCACTGTCACATATATTGGCGGCCCACCATTGTCGTGTTCCTCGATATCAAAGGTGCATTTGATTACGTGCATAGACGGGTACTTTGTGAATGCCTACTCGGGAAAGGTGTACCTGAGAAATATGAAAACATTATCCGAGCATTATATGCTCGTAGTTCGGGCAGAGTGAGGGCTTACGGCAAGTTGTCGTCGCCCTTTAATATCTCCAGCGGCATGAGACAAGGATGCCCGCTGTCACCTTTCCTCTTCAACTTCGCTGTTGACGAAGTCATGGAAATCGCGTTCACAGGACACGACTTAGAAGGTGTGGAGCTACTCCCAGGAGAACGACTTCTTGATTTAGAGTATGCTGATGATATTGCCCTCATCTGTGACAGCTCACAAACGCGCCAAGAGGCACCGGACAGATTAGCACTGACTGTCCGTCACTTGGGGCTTTGCATCGCACCTTTGAAATGCAAAGCGTTCCCGCAAGATTGGCCTGGATCGCCTCCTTCGCTGACCCTTAGTGGGGATCAGCTAGATGTCGTTTAAAAATTCAACTACCTGGGAAGTTGTATCAGCGCCTGTGGGATTGAAGATGAGATCACGAACCGTGTAGCGCTTTTGCTAACCTTCGCCACTTACGGCGGTGGCGCGATATCACTCTCACCCTGAAGGGTAGAGGGCACAATGTAGCGGTACGTTCGACCCTACTGTACGGTTGTGAAACCTGGCCCCTTTGATCAACGGACCTAACGAGGCTAGATACGCTCGACCACCGGTGCCTTCGCAATTTAGCTCACACCTGGTGGGAACACAGAGGAAACAACGAGCGTGTTCGACGCCTTGTTTACTGCACTGGAAAAGGAATTGAACCGCTCAGCACCGCCATTTCACGCACAAGGCTCCGATGGCTGGGCCACGTGTTACGCATGCCAGCCCCCCGACTCCCGCGAGGTGCGTTGTTTGTGCGCCCGGGGTGTGAATGGAAGAAGAGGAGAGGTGGCCAAGCGATGACTTTGTCGAGAGGAATGAAAGCCCCCACTTCGAACCTGGTCTCGGTTGGAGCGTCTCGGCTCCCTTGTTGGGGTCCGAAAGACGATGAACACATTTGGCTGGATACACTTGCTGATATGGCTAGGAGCCGACCTCAGTGGCGTTCGTGCTGTGAGTTTCTTTGTCCAACCCCATCCCTCTTAGCCTCATCTTCCAACCACCATCTCACTACTTAGCATAGCAACTTTTTTTGCTGCATAGTAGCCGGCTGTTAGCTTAGCGGAATAGTGCCCTTCCTTTACCGGTAGCTCAGCTGGCATGCACCTGTTACATTTTTTCCTTTTTTTATGTATTGCGGCACATTAGCTGTGTTTCCCACCTCGCTAACGCGTATAACGATGATGACGACACTTCGTCGCTCGCGCAGGATCCGACACATTGGTCACGTGACGCATCACGGACTTAGGTCGATAGACTCATTTGAACTCGTCCAGGGTTGGCCAAATCAGCTGACTCACGGCTAGTGGCATGCGGGACGCAATATCGGATTGACGCGCAGCTCATCATGGCACAATCAACAGAGTCAACCGGAATCCTGGTTGCTAGGCCCACTGATGAGGTGGGCACGTGCCGGGTTGCATCACAGACCGAGGTGGCGAGCAGTGCTGCTTTCCAAACAATCGACGATCAACACTATGCCGGAAAACTCACCAGCACAGAGGTGGCTGTGCTTAAGGCGAGGTACATGAAGCTGCATGAAGCCCTCAGAAAGTGAGTACTCGGTTAATAAGGTCGGAATGTTTGCTAGTCTGCAGGATTTACGAAATACCCCCACGTCGTAGCAAAATTTCTAGAGGCTATATCTGTTTGTTAATGTACAGAGGCGCATGAAGGTGTTACACAGTGCCTAAATATTTACCATCGCCAAGTCGGTGAGCAGCGCCGAGCGTGCAATAATGTCCAAAATTGATGGCTGCTCCAACGGTTATTATTGGCTCATTGTGGTGAATATCCCTGGTCTTAGACATGGTATTTCTAATGTATGGCCGGTCACCAACCAACAAAATACACAGTGGCTGCTGACAGAGATTTTGCATTTCGAACAAGTCACCACTCCGCAACAAATTTTTGCAACGCAACATTTCTTTCAAGCCATATAAAAACGCCAGCTTTTATATACTTGTCATGAGGATGCCGTGTCTGTACATTGGACCTACCGACTATAAGGCAGATTTAGCGACCGCACTCATTCAGTGGATTATGAATGCATTTTTGTTAATACAAGTCAACCGTGGGTGAGAAACACACCTCAGCTAGTGTGCCGCAATACAAAAAATACGAGTTCAAGCATTAGGGACTACAAAAGCTAAAAAAGGCAACATAATGCTAAATTCACATTATGCATTGGGTTTGAGGTCGATGTTGGAGAGGGAAGCTAAAGGGGAGGGGACGGACAAAGACTTACAACACAAACGCCATTGAGGCCGGCACTTCGCTATATCAACAAGTGTATCCAATCAAACGTGTGTAGCGTCCTTCAGACACCAGCCCGAGAGTAGGGAGACACCAACGGACGCCGTTCGAAGTGACGACCTTCATGTTTCTTGACCAAATGATGGCTTGGCCTCCCCTCCCCTTCTTCCATCCGCCACCGGGGCGCGCAAACAACGCATGACGTGTGAGTCGGTGTGCTGACTTGCACAACACGTGGCCCAGCCATCGGAACCTGGTGGTTAATATAATGGTGCAGAGCGGTCCACTCACTCTTCCTGCACCAAATACGCGACGCCGAACACGCTCAGTCACGAATGTTAAGGCATTAGAACTCAAATAAAAAATCACCGTTCAGATGTAAGGGGAAAAGTTTCCAGGGGAATTCAGTTCTGGGGGGAGGACCAACAACAACTCCAGGAAGAGAATAAGCGTAGTGGTTCCTAAAAAGAAGGCCTGGGTGCTTTGTCTGTTTCTGTCGTCGGTTTTTATTAGTTGAGATTATTAGCGTCCGTTGAATTGAGGATAGTTACGAAATCAAATCTTAGACACTAATATAAATGAAAATTTGAAGTGGTTGAGAATATCCCTAGCTGGGGATTTGGATGTGGGTATTGCAATGCTCTCCGAGCTCAACGATTATTTTGCAGACGTTTCGCTGCCAGACTAGGCAACATCGTCAGCGAGCTTTAAGGTCCTGTTTCGCAGAGCCTCATAATCGACTTCGAGATTCATGTGCTTATTTATCGAGTTCTGCTTTGAATACCAGAACTCAATAAACTCAGGTGCTTGCCGGCTTGTGTCTCTTCCGAGTATTTCTATGTGCTCTAGGTTGAGCTGGTGGCATACGACATCCAAATGCAAGGACATCGAAAAATTCTAATCATTGCGGCGGATTGCTAGGCTATGTTCATATACCGTGTGCCAACCTTCATTCCTGTTTGTGCTATGTAGTATTTATCACAGTCTCGGCAGCAGATCTTGTAGATTACACCAGATGTCTCCCACTGGCTAAGTTTAGCTTTCACTTTGAAAAGTTTATTTCGAATTGTTTCTGTTGGTTGGTGGGCAATTTTGACTCCCAAGGGCAACAGAAGTCTCGCTGGCATTTCAGAGATTCCGTTGATGTAAGGCAACACGGCTCGTTTTTCAGCCGTTGCATTGGTTGTGGTGTGCCGTATTGCCTTATTTGGGGTCAAGTAACGCAGAATGAAGCCTTTCGAGTAAGAAGTTCGTTTGAATAGGCTGATGAGATGGTATTCCTCCGCCTGCTTCAGCTGCTGCATGCTACAGTGCGTCCGTGCTCGTTTGAAAATTGTTAGTCCGCAGCTGCGTTTGTGGACAATGGACAATGAACAATGATATATTACAGGTAAAAAAGCGATTGCTTTACAAGTCCCGTAGGATGGTTGAAGTGAAAGTAAACATAAGTGTAAATCTTCAATTTAAGCGTCTAGTGATTCAGGTGCCCCTTATTTATATAAACATTTTAGAATATGTACCGAATTGTTACTGTAGAGTACTATGGGAAGTACTGTGGGGAAGGTATGTTTTTAAACGAAAGAAACGATAACGCTTACTCGTGCGCCGCTTTCTTGGACTGAGGTAATTGATGAATGCAGTTGTAATATATCCAAAACTATATTCCACAACAGCAGTGTGTAAGTAGTGAAGCACAAAAGCTTAGAATGAGCACCGTTTTTTTCGCGTTTGGTTGACGTAGATATCTCTGATTATATAGCGCAATGTAAGTGTATAAGCGAATCATCCAGACTGGCGGATGATTGCTGTTGTGGTTGAAGATCTGGTCCATATTTGTTGATTTTCGGTAGACCGTGATTTCCAGTTTTTTCGAACCAGTCCTACGTTTGAGAACGTCTAAAAATGGCAGCTGCCCATTATTTTCCTCTTCCCTCGGGAATTGGATGCCACCGAACACACTGTTGATTAGCCCATATCTCCTCTAATTTGGAGCTTTCGAGGTAGACCATCTCTTCAGCCTGTTCAGACGAACTTCGTATTCGAAAGGCTTCATTCTGCGTTACTTGGCCCCAAATAAGGCAACACGGCACACCACAACCAATGCAACGGCTGAAAAACGAGCCGTGTTGCCTTACATCAACGAAATCTCTGAAATGCCAGCGAGACTTCTGTTGCCCTTGGGAGTCAAAATTGCCCACCAATCAACAGAAACAATTCGAAATAAACTTTTCAAAGTGAAAGCTAAACTCAGCCAGTGGGAGACATCGGGTGTACTCGTCAAGATCTGCTAATCATAATAATAATAGTGTGTCAGCTGTACGCCGTAACGGCGTTTCGCTGCCGCGCGAATACCACCAGTCGCGCGCGGGCTGAGTATACCGCGAGGACGCCTACCCCTACGCGGATTCGAACCGGTGACCTTATGGTTGCAAAGCAAACGTGCAGACCACTCGGCCACCGGCCGATCTGCTGCCGGGACTGTGATAAATACTACATAGCACAAACAGGAATGAAGGTTGGCACACGGCTATATGAACATAGCCTAGCAATCCGCCGCAATGATTAGAATTTTTCGATGTCCGTGCATTTGGATGTCGTATGCCACCAGCTCAACCTAGAGCACATAGAAATACTCGGAAGAGCCACAAGCCGGCAAGCACCTGAGTTTATTGAGTTCTGGTATTCAAAGCAGAACTCGATAAATAAGCGCATGGATCTCGAAGTCACTTACGAGGCTCTGCGAAACAGGACCTTAAAGCTCGCTGACGATGTTGCCTAGTCTGGCAGCGAAACGTCTGCAAAATAATCGTTGAGCTCGGAGAGCAGTGCAATGCTCAAATAAATGATAATATTGTATATATAATGATGATACATTTAAGTCGTATGCACCTAATACGTGGTGAAGTGTGTTTACTAGCAATAATTTATCGCCCCCCAATTTCCACCTTGGCAATATATCGATGCCTAGCTTCTGCGATGAAACGAATCCTGTCACGACCATGCAGTCAAGTCCTTCTGGTGGGGGACTTCCACCTGCACGCAATCGAATTTCCAGCATCGAACGGCGAACAACTCGAGGCGGATTTACTAGAGGTGATCGCCCATTTACCTCGGTACAACCATGTCACCTCTCCCACGCGATTCCGAACGGGTGACACACCCTTTGTTTTGGAGCTTGTGCTCTATAACGAGGAACTAATGGTCGACACCGTGACCATGAATGCACCACTTGGCCGTAGCGATCACGCGACGTTGCGCTTTCATTACATCTGTTACTCGGAGTACATCAGTGAGAACAACGGGGAAACCTATGTCGTTACACATTACGATATGCTGTCCAACTTCCTTCACGAAACCGACTGGTCTTTCCAGGCCTATAAACCGCCAGATGTCGCCTGGATGTCGTTCGTCACCAAATTCACTGAGCTAGTGGCAAATGCGTTAGAAAGCAAAGTCCTTCGCCCGAAGCAAGTGAATTCGTTCCTGAGGAGCGGTACTAGAAAATGCATGGCATTAAAAGATTCATCCTGGCGCGCTTAAAAGTCTGTCCAAGTAATCTAACCTGGGGTGCTTACACAACTCAAGGAAACCACTGCGTCAAGTTGATCCGCGAAGACAAACTCCAGCACCAACAGAAGTTAGCGGCGAAATTCAGTACAAATCCCAAGTTGCTGTATAGACACGTCAACAAGCTCCGCAGAGTGCAGCGTGGGATCCCGGTTTTACATGCAACAGATGGTCTTGCGCAAACCTCACAAGATGCAGTCAACGTACCTCGCCAACACTTCATTCATATTTTCCGGAGTGAATCCTCACTTCACCTGTTTTTGGCACAGCTCACGGCCACCAGGGTTGAACCATGTGACTATCACGGCAGCCAATGTGATGAAAACGCTAATGTTATTGCGCGTGCACAGCTCTCCTGGAGTGGACGACATCAAACCGAAGGCGTTGAAGACAGCGGCCATGAACCTTGCTGAACCGTTAGTTCGGTTCTTTCAACGTTGTCTCGACGAAATACAGGTTCCGACAGTATGGAAACATGGACTAGTCACTCCTATTTACAGAAGTGGTAATCGTTAGAAGCCCTCGGACTACCTTCCAATCCCTCTCCTCCCAGTTTTATCCATAGTAATGGAAAGTATAATTGCAGAGGCGCTCATGCGATAGCTTGAGAGAAACAAACTCTTATTGTCACAGCAACACGGATTCCACCAAAATCGATCCTGCACTACAAACTTGCTGCTAGCCCGAGCAAGCTGGGCAGAGTCAGCCGATACCAGCGTGGGAGTTGACAT